AGACACTTGCCCTCTCACGGAGTAATAGCTAGAGCGCTATTAGCTGCCAAGACACCAAAGTGTGTAAATAACTTAAATAACTCAAACGCTATAGCAAAGGAAGTAATCAAAGGATTACATTGCTGGATACTGCCATAGAGCGAACTAAATAGTAGTTTAACCAAACCCAAGAGATTCGTGTGAGATACGGATTTTGATCTCACACTATATATAAATACATCCCTCCATAAATGCACACTCTCATCTACTCCACACTTATAGAGGGTTCACTGTATAACAAAGTTACATACACAGACAGACATACAATGGATAATAATTGAGGATCCACTCAGGTCATAATTATTTTATGTTTCCTTTATTTATTGTTAGAAGTATTATATTTTACAGATACATTTTGTGGAAAAAGTCAGCTATAGCTTCAGCAGTTTTGGCATTTCAGCATTTAATGATTTGCTGAAACTATTTTGATGGTTTCACATATGTCATCCCGCCAAAACTCCCTAGTTTTAGCAAGCAGCTGGTGTAAAATGCAAAAAAGAAAAATACTTTTACATAGGGTACACAATCATACTGAAAGCAAACACTTGAACAGCATATAGATATTGATATGTAAATTATTGCACATTAATTTACTAATAAATGTGTGACCAGCACACTTTAATATGATAGGAAAATGCTAGGACCATGCATAATTTTGAGTTCGAATTTTAAACATTGATCTTTTTGTTCCCTTATTTCACTGAGCTACACCTACAGTGCAACCATAAAGTCAATGGTTAAGCTGCTGCATATGTAAAATATAAATTTTAATTCATGTAACCAATCAGGTTTTTAAAATATCTCATTATTTTTATAACAAATTCAAATATTATTATTAATCTAAAATAAAACCATATCATTATAGCTCTTTAATGAATCCTTCTCTCATATTGATAGAGGCCCTCTATGTAAAGTTACAGTTATTCAAAACAGCACTACTTTTTACTTCAAACTAAAGAATATTATTACCTTTATAAACTTGATGAGTGGTTGAAAAGATGGAAAATATTGTAAGCTTTCATATGAGTACAGCTTTATGTGGATTATTGTTTATTAAAGTTTAGCAAGAATGGCAAAACATATTAAATTTATTTATCAATACACAAAAAGGAAAAATGTGGTAGAAGATCATCAGGCGTAAAAGTTAAAGAGATAATTAATTTCCAAATGCGGTAATTGGGTTGTATAAGATTTTTCTCTATATATAGATAGAATTAAAGTTTGTATTAATATTAATATTGATAAAATTTCGACGTCGATCACGGAAAAAACACTTGAAAATCATTTTGCGTTCGACCGATAGGATAAACCTGTTTTGTACCCCAGTCCGAATTTGGTTACAACTGATAAAAATCTATTACTATGGTTTTTTTGTTTGCCAACGAACAATATGAAACTTATATTTTAAATTTTCTCAAAGGCAATAATTGGATATCTTAATTTTGAAGTAAAAAATAATATTGTTTTCGAATAACTATAACTTTACATAGAGAGCTTCTATCGATATGAGAGAGGATTTATTATTGTTAGATAACTTTGTTATAGAATAATGAGAAACTTTAAAAAACGGTTACACGATTCAGAATCTTATGAATGACCAACTGATGTCTGACTATTAACAATTACAATATTAAATAAATGCGTCCGTCAAATAATAACGAATGAATGGTCTTTACTTAAAATTCTTCGCAAATCAAAATAAAATTATTATGTTCCATTCATCCATTCATTGATTTAAAAACCCCAATTTTTATAATCTGCATATGTTTTCCAAGGAGGAATAGCAAATTAAAATTCTTCAAATAAATTGAAAAATGAACAAAATAAACGAACGAACGAACGAAAGAAAAATATTTACATGTAACATATAGTAAAAATGAATATTATTTAAATAAATTAGATAAAAAATAGAAAAAGTATCAATCATCAAGAATTAAATGCATCAATGGCATGGTAACAATATTCTATTTATATATTTAATAATAAATTTGAGTTTTGAGTTTAGAGTTTTTAAATGTCTTTATCATTATAAATATAGAAAATAAATACTTTCTTCTTCACCTTTAAAATTTTTAAAAAAGAACAAGAGAAGATAAGGAAAACCAATCAAATTTTTGATATTTTCAATTAATAATATATAGAGAAATGGATTGATTGATGTTGTTGGGTAGCAAAGCACGTTCACAAATATCCGTCTATGCACACACACACATATTAATATACACACGCACAAACACACCTCCTTTTATTTTGGTTGATTTTTGAGGAAATAATTAAAAAAATTAAAAAATTTGATTTGTTCTAAAGAATAATAAAAAATAAAAACAACTATTTAATAAAGATCATTTGATATATACACAGCAGCGCACATAATAAATATACGTATAACTATGGAAAAAATAATAATTGGTCATTAAAGATTTATTTATAATAAACCATTGTCTAATATTTTAAGTCTTAATTGTTTTTTTTTAATTTTATATTTTTAAAAAATCAAATCTTATACGCGTTTATATACTGTATGTTAAATATTATGTAATTTAAAAATCACTTAAAAATATTTTTTATCAAAAATCAAGATCAAGATCAAGAAAGAAAAGACGAAGAAAAAGAACCAATTAATTAATATACAATTTGTTTTATTTTCTCGATACTATATTTCATTCATTATTATCATTATTATTATATTCTATAAATAAATAAGATTTCAAAGGGTTAAAAACATAATTTAATACAAAAACAAAAAATAAATATAAATAAAATAAAAATAAAAATAAAAATAAAATCAATTTAAATGCTTGTTTTCATCGTTTTTTTCCCTTTCATTTATATATAAATAAAATAATAACCACTATTTGTTGGAAAAGATCTCATAAATACACACGAGAGAGAGAAATAAATAATTAATTAAAAAACAAGAATCTTTAATCTCACACGCGCTTAAATTTAATAACCTTTATCCTCTAACCAATAATTAATTAATTAAATTAATTAATTATTATAAAGCTAACTAAATTAATCACCAAACTAATTGCTCACACATACCTCATACCTTGGTTTCCTTCCCTTCCTTCCTTCCAATAATTCCTCCTTTTTTTTTTAACATCCTCTCCTTGAAAGAGAGAAAAGAAGAAGGAAAAAAGAAAAGGAGAATTGACAGTTTTCAAATATTAAAAATTTAATATTAATATTAACAATTCAATAATAATAAATATTATTATTAATTCCTTTCTCGAACATAAATAAAAAAATTACCAGTTTTTTATCAGGAAAAGAAAAAATTTTTTTATTTATTCTTTAAATATAAAACGTCTTTTTTTAGTTAGTGATTTATCATTAATTATTATTTTTAAAAAATCAATAATTTGCAAATCACGTCATAAAAATTTTATTTTATTTTTAACTTTTGCTTATCTTGCTATTTTTAATAGTTTTATTTTACTGCTAAATTCTTAATTTTCTTTGATTTTCTTTTCTTCATCGTTATCTTCATCATCGTCGTCAATCATCCATCACTCTTGTTTTCTAATATTTATTCTTTACCCCTTACCTATCTTACTATTTACATCAATCAATTAATAATTAATTATTATTATAATTATAAATAATTATTATTATTATATAGTAAAATTATTTTAATAAGTGAAAAACTGTTTTTCCGAAATTTTTTAACAAATAGGTATATAAATAAATATAAACAAGATACATATATATATATAAACAACAAGGTAAACAAATAAAAAATATAAATAAATATAAATGGGTAAGTTGATCTGTTTAATTATTTTCTATTGTCACATTATTTGTTACTAAAAAAAGTAATGCTAATTTACGGTCCATGCTTTATATTACCTAAAATGTTAACAGATCAATCAGCAATCATCCATCAACACGAAAATAACAGTAATCACGACCAACAATTAAGTACTAGATCAAAGTATTTAGTTACACCTACAACAACAACAACAACTAACAATAACAATAATGATAATAATAATAGCCAGTATCAATTTGATCAACATTCTTCTGCTGCTGTTGCTTTACAGTCTCTTTCTAACAACAATTCTACAATAGAATCTATTTGCAATAATAATCTTACAACTAATAATAACCCAATTAATTCTAATAATAATAATTCGATTAATACTAATAATAGTAATACTTCTAATAGTAATAATAATAATAATAATAATAATAATAATAATAATAATAATTGTCAAAGAGGAACTAATTCTTCAACTTTTAATTATTGTCAACAGCAACAAAATTATTCATTTCATTCTGATACTCCTAATAATAATAACAATAGTAATAATAACAATTCTACAAAAAATAATAATAATAATAATTTTCAGCAACAAAATCAACAAAATCACATAATGGCAAATTTAATGGGCAACGGAAATAGTTTACCACAACATTACTTTTATCAACCAACAACAATCTCTTCTTCGACTCTTCTACATCCACCACCACATAATCATGTAAATCATCATTCTCATCATTATCCAATTCATCATCCAATTCATCATCATAATCCACATCAACAACTTCATTTTTCACATACAATACCTCATAATACTACTAACATTTTCTTACAACAAAATTCTTCCATCCCTACGACTACTTCTACTACTCCTACAACTGTCGTGACTGCAGCAGCAGCTGTTGCTCTTTCTCAAAATTTATCTTCTTCTGCTACTGCTACAACTACAACTGCCATTAATCCAAATATAAACGGTTCTTCTCATCATTCTCATCATGGTATTATAGCAATGTCTCATAATAATAATAGCAACAGTAATATTAACAATAACAACAGCAATATCAACAATAGCAACAATATTAATAATAACTGCAACATCAATCATGATTTATCATTTCATTCATCTTCACATCATCATCAATTAATTTCATCTTCTGTTACAACAAATAATGTTAATAATAATAATAATTCATTAATGATTCCATCATCAATATCACCTATAACATCGTTGTCTCCGTCATCATCGTCATCATCATTATTATCTCCTAAAATTATACCAAAAAGATCTACCTGCAACAAGCCATCATCTACACCTAATTCAATTAACAATAATAATTCATCTGCAAAAACAGCAAATACAAAAGTCACCAAACATTCTTGTAATTGGCCTGATTGTTCTTGGAGTTTCAAAAGACTTGAACATCTTAAACGTCACATGATCACTCATACTGGTGAACGCAAATATACTTGTATCCATCCAGGTTGTGGTAAAAGATTCGGTAGATCGGATAACTTTGCTGCTCACAGTAGAACTCATTATAAAAATGGTAATACTAAGCGTCAAAAAAGATCGAAGATTGTTCTTAGTAATGATAATAATAATAATGATAACGACAATAATTATCAACAACAACAAAATCATCAATTAGGTTTAGTAGTAATAAATGACTCTACAACAACAACTAATAATAACAACAATAATATGAATTCAGTGGATAATAATAATAGTAATAATAATAATAATGCCGATTATAATTATATTGTTGGATATCATAATCATCATAATCATCATCATCAACAGCAGCAACAACAACAACATAATAATAATAATCATCCTCACACTCATCAAATGATTGTTGGTGGTAATGGTTTAGATTTAAATGGTATATCGATGCAATTACATCCTCTTAATCATCATCCTCATCATCCTCCTATTCATTCTCACTATCATCATCCTCATAATCAACATCACGGAAATTTAGGTCCAGAGATTAAAATTGAACATCATGACAACAAATGGTAGTAGATAATTAATGATGATAATGATAATACTTTTGGTCAGGCAAACAAAAAACCAATTCACTTTTTTAATTTTTTAATTTTAATTTTTAATACTAGTTCGAATCTAAAAATAAAATTGAAAAAGAAAAGGATAATGATTATAATTTTATATTATTTTCTTATTTTCTTTTTCTTTTTTCTATTTCTTTTTCACGAAAAAATTTATACAGGTTATAAATAATAGATAGGCGAGATGTAATGAAAACGAGTATTTTTTTAATGAGTTTTATTAAAGATAATAATATTATTATTTTGACTATTATTTTTTTTTTTAAACTTTTTAGTTTTTTATTTTAAATAAGGGGTTTTTATTTACATATGCCTCATATACAACATACAAATAACAAACAATAAAATAAAAATAAAAATAAAAATTTTTCTAAAGTAGATGATATTAACCAGGCTTGGTCATATCATCTTGATAATAATCGGTCATCTTCAAATTTTTTATTGGTTTGGAAGCAAATAAAGAAACATTGAAAAAAAATAACAATACTAATGGATTATTTAGTAATAATAACCAATCAACTTTTAAACCTTTAACAATACAAGATTATCTACTAACAGAATTACAAAACGATGTTGATAGTTTGTATTTGAAAGGTGTATTTATATAAGAAAAAAAAAATTGTAGGAAATTGATGATTTGATTACCCTGGGAATTGAAATCTCATTATATAAACAATTCATGTTAAAACACAAAATATTGGTGTAAAAAATTTATTGGATATCAACAATTGTAACATGTTCAGCAGATAAGACTGTCGTTAGTTTCATAGAACCGGTATGTTATCAATCCAATTTATGTAATGTTGTTAACTTCATGATTGATGTTACAAATTTGGAGATCACGCAGCCATTTAAAGATACGTTATTCAAAGTTCTTGCCGGATGGGGTTTTCATTATAACAGCATCTTATGATCATGCTATAAAATTAATACCAACAATAATAATACAACACCGATTTTGCACCATAATATATAAAAAGTTCATTTTTTCACTTGTCTGAATTTTTGATGTTGCATTTGTCAAAGTTGCAGCCATCCGTATTAGTATCCTTAGTTGTGACAAATAAAGTCATGGCGGAATTAACATTGTCATGAGGATCCGATTAGTATGATAACTTGTGAGTTTGATAATTAATCTCTTTCTTTAGAATAAAATAATAATAAAGATATCGTTAATTAATTCTTACTTGCAGGATACATCATTAATTTCATTTTGTTATATATACAGTGCATTATTATTATATGTCACGTTGTCACGGAGAAATGTTTCTAGCACGTGATTTATGGAGGAAAATATATTGTTGTATGTTTGTTGTGATTATCTATTTTTATATTTTTATGCACCTCTAAAAAATTGATAATAATAAAAAATGTTTAACGCAACTCATCTTCCTGTAGATATTTTTTCACTAAAAAGAGTAGAAGACAGCAACAATAACAGCAAACCCAATAACAATAGCAGTAATAGCAAGCTCAGTAACAATAATAATAACAGCAACAATAATAGTAACAGTATTGATAATAATATCAATATTAATAATCACGATAATAATAATGGTAATTCCCAAAAAAAGAAGAATAAAAAGAAAAAAGAGTCAGATAGTGAGTTGGATATTGATCAAGAAATTGAAAATATTGAAAATTTAGACATGCAAAGTAACTTGATTAATAAAATTCTACAAAATGCGGTAAAACAAAACAATTTATTTAATAATATACTTGATCATATATATATAATGATTTATTCTTTATTTTAATAATAATAATAAAAATATTAAAAGATAGGTAATAAAATAACAGTAGAGAAAGATGCTAAATTAGCAATAAATAGATCATTAACAACTTTCATCAGATTAATAACCAAAAGGTACTTACTAACGCTACTATTATCAATCTTAATTCATATTGAATATAATGAATGTTATTAATTAATGTATATACTCTTTTTTTTAACCTCATATGATTGATTATAAAAAAAATGAAGAGCCAACATAATTGCTAAAAAACGTAGTCATAAAAATATATCGACAAGTGATATTTTTGAAGCATTAGAGGAATGTAAATTCGAAGATTTTGTACCAATATTAGAAGAGGAATTAGATGGTAAGAATTGATAGTAATAATATCATTAATAAAATAATCTAAAAATCACAAAATAGTTATTGTTGTTTTTTTAATAAACATAGCATTTAAAGAAACACAAAAACAAAAGAAAACTAATCATCATAAAAATGGACCTCCCGAATCTTCAATTGTATCACAATCACCTCCTGATAATGGAGTTATAGTATTATTAGAATCCAATAATACCTTTTTATTATCATCATCAGATTATAATAATAACAACAATGAGGGTGATGACAAAACAACAATTAAGGGTGATAATAATATTGATGGAAATGAAGGTGGAGGTGGCGATAACCCTTCTTCTTCTGCTGCATCTATGGAATCTGTTGTTGAATATTTTGGAGGAAATAATAGTAATCCTATTGTATTAGTGGTAGGTGATAATAATAATTAATCAATCGAATTTGAATGGGTGACAATGATAACGATGGTGATAACGAGGTTGTTAATACTTACTAGTAATAATGGTAATAGAATAAAATTAGAATTTAGATAAGATTAATATGTAAATAAATAATTACGATGTAATTAATGGCGGATTATAAAAATTATTTTATATTGTGCAGTTTTTTTAAAACGTTAATAAATCGTATATTACTGCTACTACGGTAATACACTGCAGTTCATGTGACAAACCGATCAGCAATATGCCTTTAATTATCGTATACCACGTGATACAATTACTAAAAATGTGAACTCTCTCAAACCTCAAACGAAGTAGATGTTATTTAAACTCAAAGTTATACTTCTCGTTTTTATTGTCCATGCATGCCTGAGGAAAAGTTCTCGGCGTATATTTTTGTATAAATAGTGTCCAACTATGTTGGATGTTGATGCATGATAGTTCGAATATATTACAGTCTATAGTAATATTTTTACATGATAGGTTGGGATAAAATGCTATAAATTTAATAATGTGTAAATTATCCTAATTTAGTTTCACAATTACAAGTTTCATTGATATATATATGAAATTTTTTTTTATTAGTTTTCACTCATTCCCAGGGGGTGGGTGCACTTAGAGAGGGGTTGATTGTATCAAAACAATCTTCCCATTTAGTTATATTAGGGTGTCTAGGATTATGCTTTTTTTTTCTTCCAAATTATGCCCTGATGCATTTTTTTTTTCATAATTTTTGGGCAAATTCATAATAATTCGACCAAAATCAATATTCAGAAAAATTAAAATACATGAAATTTAATTTTTCTTTTAAAGCTGTGCGTTTATCAGTTAATATACTTTTA